AGTTTTTATGCAGTTCCCTTGAAGATATCCCAGTGGATTATCATGGATATCCTCTTGATAACTAAAGATGGTCCAGTTCATGCATAGATCTAGGCAGTTGACGGCAAATATTTGATTGAATAATCTATGTCTGGGCAGGAGTAAGTGTATATTATTATGTCTAATCGCCGTAGTAGGAAAGTTTTCGGGTAGTGCAATCCGTAACCAACCGTCAACGATTGAGGACGTGGCCTCTTAACATCTTGCCTTCTAAAAGCATATAGGTACATAACTTAATTGATATATTTTGTTTAATTCGAGATACATAATAAAATCAATTCGCTAAATGACCTGATATTTATTATACCAGCTTTACTTTAATGGAATTGGTATTTGAAAACGGGCCACCATGTTTTGCCGTATTGGATAAGCAGTGACATTAGGTTAAGTATAAGTTTATGAGGATTGAACTAAAATACGTAACTATTGAAATTCAAATAAAACAAAAAGCTTTTGTTTTCTTATACTAAATACAAATATCGGTTCCTTAAAACTTTAAACTTTTTAGACCGGAGATTCAAATCAATTTAATTAATAATCAACAATTTTATCGAACTTCGTGTTGTTTGGAGGAGCACGGTGGCTAGCGCATTCGGCCTGCGATCCTGAAAGTTAAGCAACTTTCGCAATTATCGGTCATTGGATGGGTGACCAAAAACTTATTGTCTCGAGATCGTCCGTGCTTCGGAAGGCACGTTGGTCCCGGCTGCATATGCAGTCGTTAACACCCACTAATCCGCACTGGGCCCGCGTGGTAGTCACGGCGCAATTTTTCCTATTTCATCCGTAGGGAAGGCCTGTGCCTCTGAAATGGGTACATTAATAAGCTGATGATGATATTTTTGTGTTAGGAAGAGAGCTTACTTCACTAAGATGGGTGGATTTCAGATCAGACGGGCGGACGATCGGATTAGAAAGAATGTAACGTAGTTACATTGATTTATATTTTTAAAACAATATTAATACACTTCCTTGACATTTTAAATAAGCCGGCAAGCCTGTGTCCCCAAGTCCATCTGATTCGTTTGAGGTTTGGAGCATTAGCATTAGATATCGTTATTTGGCCCTGGAATAAGGGTGCTATTAAATTAGAATAAAGTTATAAGTTAAATAAATATGTAATTTTGCTAAACAATAAGATTATTGTTATTTCATTTAAACTTAATAATGACATATTATGTACTGGATATTTAGTAGTCTGTAGCGCTAATATATCTCTTATCTGAAGACTTTGTGTATAAAATTTGTATTTTTTTATGCTGGTTAATTTATAATGAATTTGTTTACGATGATGATTTGCCAATAATAAAGGACTAATAATACAATTCTTACACTGGTCTAAAGGACCTTCAAGCTTTGTTAATGCAAATAATCAATAAACAAAACTAAAGTGAAGTCACCTGTAATTCACCGGATCATCATGTTGGCTAATTGATTGAAATCCATGTATTTACCTATGCAAATGACGCGTTCGAAAATTCCGATATGATTGCGTACTTACATCAAATTAACATTTCCAAAACAAACACGTTACACGGGTTATCTGATAAACAATGGAGTAGTCGACGATAGAACTTTAAAATGAGCATTGCCAACACTCTCCTCAAGTCTTGGCGCCAGAACTAAATTACCAAAGCTAACCTGTCTCCTTTCAAATTTGATTGCGCCCAACATCACACGCCCATGAACTCTATAATGAAACAGCCATATAAAAACAAAACTATGGGCATATATGATTAGCCCGATACACGAGTAAGGTAGAACCACTAAACAAACAACCATTACAATAACGCAGCGTCACTGTGTTGGAAATCACTTATTGTGGGAGTGACTTGCACTCCCGCGCAAGAAGTGCCTTATGCTACGCGCCTAGATTGTGTTCGAGACCCCCCGTTTTAACGGTTATGAACCAACGTAATGTCATCGCTTCACCATTCCAAAGGTCAATCGTAAACAATTTCTATTGACCAATCTCATTGTTTGCTCGATTTTATTAATCTAAAACTATATTATTAACATTAACTCTATTGAGAATAAAACTCTGATTAATTGATAACGTGTATAATATATTCAATAATGCTCAGCACCGATGGTTCCTCTAGGTGACCGGTACAAAAAGAAATAATAGAGAGCGCTATTGTCGGAGCGACCGTGTCCGACAGGCATAAACAATGGCTCGCGCCTGAACGGTGTTGCCAGGTATTACCTTTAAGAGTCAACTTACTCAATAACATAACCTATATTCAAAAATCCGCTTGTTAATAATATTTAAAAAATACATATATCATAAGCATTCTATACTTATTTCATAATAGAATGCGGGCAAATATATCTGAAATTCATGTTTTCTTGTCTAAGATCTGTCAAATTAAGAACCAACTGAGGTGAAAAAAAATTAGCTTAGACTAGCAAAAAAAAAATTGTTACTAACTGCAAAAGTTAATGACATAAAGAAATGTGTTTATTTGTGTTTAAAATGCCTTGGAGAAACGCTGGTCACCCCACTGGGTCAAATGAGGCGCGGCGTCAAATCTCGGGTTGCACTGAGCTGGCGCCGGCCGACACATCCGAGAAGTTAGCACACCCATTGAAACAGACAAAAAAAAAATCCCTTTCGTCGTGCTTCACTTCACAATGTAACAAGCGACTGTAACGAACGAGTTCGCCAAAGAATCGATTTCTCAAAAGTGTCACGAACTTACAAATGCGTCGGCAGTAAAATTTTTGTGGTTTTTGACTTGTTTGTATACGGAATTTGGTTAAGTTATATGAACACATTAAAAAACAAGTCAAAAGATCTTAGTTTCTTGAGAATGATTCCAATATCAATTCATCCAACCCAGGTTTGAACATGCATGAGGCAAAGCGAGGCAAACAACCGATTAATAAGATAACTAAGGTTATTAGAAGAATGATAAATTCTATTAGAACAATCGATAAATCAATCTTTAGAAGTACAGAAGAGATGGTAAGTATTTAAATCAATTTGGTTGCACTGCAACTTAATAAACAATGTTAGTCGAAAAGAAGGTAAATCATTGAAGAAATCAGTGTTCTAATTAGTGTGGGAGATGACAGCGTGTGTGCCTGCGCCGGAATAAATCAGGACCCAAATTGCTTTCCACAACGAACATTCATTCAACCCGGCGTTAATAGCGCGTGCAGTCGAAATATTAGACGACTGTTTGGAAATATTTTTTACACTGAAACCGTATCCGAATCCGAGAAGGCGCCACTCACATAAAAAATATGACTAATTGCAGTTACACTCAAAAGCGACAGTGGCGATTGTGAAGAAGAAAAAATCATTTAGGGCGCTAGATAAATTTACAAAATATTTACATTTAATTTTTTTCGTTGTCAATATCTTTATTTAATTGACATGACTACAGAAATTTGCACCGAAAAAATTCACTTTCTAAATTTAAAAAAATAAGATAGGTAGGTAGGGGAAATGAGATGCAGTATTTTTAACCTTAAATATCACATTAAAAACATATTAGATTTCATTTCAATGAAACCGGAGAAGTTATTTCTGATTTTCTAAGAAGATTTGCATTTCATAAACTTACCTTTATTATTATATAAAGAGAGAAAAATATACACTGACAGACTGACTAATCAACGCACAGCCGAAACGGCTGGACCTAGAATGATGAAATTTGGATAGTGGGTTCCTATTATTGCCTAGACAAGTAATTAGATGGGATTTTTTAAAATACAGCCTCTTAAGCATGTAATATGCAAAAAACGTTTGTTCCTAAAACTTATCTCTGAGACCTATTCACTGCAAATTTTACATTATTTGATCAGATGTACACTAAGCCTGTTACATAAAATTGTTACAATTACCCTTAAAATTTAAAAAAAAATCTTGACAAAGTTTGTATGATATTCAGACACATTCAAAAGTGCAAAGGATTGATTAAAATTTTGCACACCTACTCTGTGTGTCTCATAAAATAAAAATCCTATCTGTGTTTTGTGAAATTAAAAGAGTGATTAAAAATGTTTTATCCTCGTTTAATTTTATAATATTAAATAAGATAGTGGTGTCAATACTGGCATCCTTTTCTAAACTTACAACTAAATTTAAAATCAGTCTATCCTTTTCATTCTGAATAGAGAATGACAAGGATAGGCTGTTATCAAATTAAAGTTTAGGTTTAGGAAATCACGCCAGAATCAAACACCATTATTGCGGTAAATCTAATGTTAAACAAATCTAATGCGAAACAAATGTTAACATTCATCCCTTTGAAAATCGAAAAACGAGCTATGCATCTCCATGGCATCACAATGACTACGCAATTAACAATGCCATTATTGAATCGTATCAATATAAATGTCTAAAACTAACATCGTATGATTTCGATTTAATTATCTCCATCAACAACCCCGCCCCACTCGAAAACGAAGAGCAGTAAATCAACAGTAATAATGCTAAGCTTTGGTATTTTTATTGCTTAAACAAATCTTTATCAGTACAATTACAACATCGTTAAAAAGTATTTCAATATATTAAATATGATTGTATTAAAGAAACTAAGACATGAATATAATTTACTTCAATGATTAAAATGGTTTCATTATATTTAGTTTCAACAACTGACTGGTGTCGTGAGTAAGATGTCCAAGGCAGTTATTTAATAAAAAAAAACTTTATCTGCTTTGTAATACGAGAAGTTCATTTTAAAACCGCTCACATTCTTGGTTGGATTAGTGTAGATTAGTTTACCTTAGTGTAAATTTTTTGATTCTTCTCAACACTACGCAACGGAATAAAAAAGCTTATATTACGACTACTTTTCACTCTTGTCAGTGTATTATATAATACTTCTAATTTAGAACGCGATTAATTTGGATACAACCTAATCAAAGTAGATTAATAATGTGAAAATGGCAACGTCATGAAGTGTCACAACCTTTTATAAGATCGCCTAATTTATTACAGACTCATCATCGGAAGGTTATTAATGAAGGAATATTTAAGTTAAGTTTCTTTAGATAGGAAACAACGATGACACATTTAAATATCTTGGTTCAAAGCGATACAAGAAAGGCATGCAATAAAAAAATATCATAAGAACCCACACACAAGAGGTATTTCCACAAATCTATAATTCTTTCAGCAAGTGAGGCAAATACGAAAATAAGCATCAAAGTGTTTTTTAGAGGAATAGCGACAAATGTCAACAAACAAGGCTAGCTAACACGTGTTACATATTGTCTGACAATATTTATTGTTGCTTTATTAGCCCCAGTGGCGGTTAGGAGGAAATGAAAATAACCGACGTTCTACATTTAAAAGCACGTGTTATGGATCAACACAATATAAGATAAAAATCAAGATCCTCAGGAAATACCAAACAGAACTCCAAGTATTAAACTTGAAGAAATGATAAACAATCGAGAATAGTTAAATGTTTATACTGAATCATAATTGTACCGAAATGGAAACGGCAATATGTCTTCGACGATAAATCTTAGGTGATTCTCATTAAGTTTAGTTAACAACTATTCACAAGCCTACGTGAGTCTGCCAATAAAATCCAAATCCAATTGCGTCGACTCCTGATTTATAACGAATCAATAAAAGAGAAGGCTATCATTACCTCTTTTATAGGGTATTCAATAAAAGTAATGTACTCGGTAATCAACGCGACGGCAAAACAACACGTTTAAATAAAGGTCTAGAGCTAAACAAATTTAAATATACTTTTTCATGTTTACGACTTAACGGGTTAAATGTAGATCATTATAGAAAGTTGCGACAAATCTTGGTTGCTGATTTTGACACTACATTCTATGATAAAACATATTTTTGGGTAAAATAGACCTGGAGACTTTATTGAATCACTAAATTAAATAAGATACTAGCTTAATTAACACGCTATGTCTATTTTCTAAGTCCTTATTGCCATTGCCAGTAATGTAGATCTAAGCTGTTTAAAAAGCTGAACATGGTCAGTCCATTGTAATTTATTATTCGTCCAGGTCGAAACATTCTTCGGAATTAGCGACTCTAAGGTTTATATGACGTCTGTATATCAAGTGTGCAACTTGAGTAAACAGAAAATTACTATTGAAAAAATTAGGGTCTGAGAGATGGCTCGTAAAATGAAACAAGGGACTACGTCCGGAGATGTGTCAAGATAGCATGCGGCGGCGGGCGCAGGCGCGGCGCCGACCCATCTCCCCAAGACCCAATTAGAAGCACACCTTTTGAGCATGTGCTCGCGCTTGACACTAACGCCTCGAAACTAGGAATATGAGACAACTACATCCGTTCTTAATTTTATTTTATTAGGAAATCTAGCTGCTTTGGTGCTTGAGCCTGAGACAATAAAATGATTTGCAACTGTATTGTAATTAACAATTGATATAAATGGAAGGGTAAATGAATTTCTTTTATACCTTTTTACATGTTCATACTCATCACAACACTAATATTTTTACATAATAATGTGTGCACAAAACTAATATTTTTACATAATAATAGTCAAATTTAATTTACACATATTACCACCGTGCATTTTATGTACACACAACGACTCTGTCAGAAGTACCTAATAACTGCAGAAATATTTTTTACTATTTTAACGAGAAGACAATGATCATAGAATCATGCTCCTTGACAGCACAAGTTATATATTTTGTTATGATCAAACATTGAAGCTCCGGCGCTCCTAGGTTTGACTAGTCAAACCTCAGGTCTGACACATAAAGTCCTAGGCGAAGTCGAAATAAATGACGTTTTTCAGCCTTTCAGTACTATAATGAATTGATAGATCTTAAGAAGTGGGAAGGTCTATTTTTTTTCGTATTTTGAATTAAGATGACAGTAACTTATAAAATATATGTAGTAATCTTTATTTAGACAATCATGGTGAATTGGTGATGCGTTAAGACTTTGATTTAGCAAAATAATTTGGCTGTATGTCAACCTTTGACTATACTAAGTATAAATATATTATATGAGAAGATCCCCAAAAGTTACAATCGTATTGTCTTGAGCGAAGTGTCACATGTATAATTCAACAATGAAATTAAAATACATACCTTTGTTTTGACTAGCTTCGGAGTTTCCTTACACATTTTAGCGAGAGCATGATATTCACCCCTCGCTGCGCACAGGATCCACTGCTTCTGTTTCGAGTCCAGGGGATCAGTTTCGCTTTTCGGGTCCAACTAAAATAATCCAATAGAACGATATATCAAAAACATCTGATTATTCAAGATTTTCGAGTAACGGTAATTAGATTATTGTATTTTTTTTTCAAAATGGAAAAGGAAATACTTTTAAGATTTGGATAGACATTAGCTGTATTCTAAAGAAAAATTTTACTAGAAAATAATTCAACACGGTCGAGTTGTAAGGCAGGATTTTTAAGGTGAGTCTTTCGCCTACGCTACCAACAGCGCATCATTCTTTAGATTTATAAATCGAGCACATTAATGCTTAAAATAAAACATGATTAAATATAATATTATATGAGTTTATTTAACATTGATCTACCATTTCTGCAAAAGAATTTAATTGTCTTCGTCACCACAAATCTCTCATGACAACAGTCGTAAGAAAATATAGTATCATTTAATACATCAATGTCTAAAACGACCATTGTTAGATCATGATACTTAAAAAAATGTTGTGTACTCACAGATACTCGATCTTCTTCGTCCACGCCCTGTGAATAAATATTAGAATTGAATAACTTATGCCTATGGACTCCTCTAATATACCTATGAGTATTCAATCGGTGACTTTTAGAAACAAGCACGTTAAAATCTGCAGCAAGAGATTTTTCCAAACTGTGTCCTTGTTGTTTATTACAAAGCCTTCGCTTAATATTGCATATTCATACGTATGTTTCATTTTGAACCCTAATAAGTGGACAGTTGACATTTTAGCAGAATCTGTATTTTTATTGATCCTATCCTAACAAATCATCATCATCATCAGCCTGTTAATACTGCTGGGGCCATAGGCATTCCCTGTATAGAATCTGACCCAATGCCGATTTGATGGTGCTAATGACTGCATATGCAGCAAGGATCAACGGCTTTGCGTACCTTCTGAAGGACGGAGTTAAACTGAAATATACTTCTGTTTCAAATGATTCAAAAGAATTTTACTACGTACCCTATTTGAATACAGATATTTTTTTACAGACTTTATTGGGACGATGGTTTTTGGGGTACAACAAACGGCATAAATCTATATGAGATTCAAAGTGTGTGGTCATCTTCATGACCTATTTCCGAATAATAGCGAACGCGACTGAATAGTGATTGTAAAATAACAAGCATAAAAGACTACAGATACTTCAATCAAATTCAATTGAAAATCCCTTTTGTATGTAATAAGTAACGGCATAAGAAATCAAAGTATACTAAGACTTCTGATAATTTGGTGTCATCGAGTCGAATCAGTCGTCAGCGACTTATTGCTGACGACTCGGACTAAAAATATTCGGACACAATGTCCGAATTTACATTTTAATATTATAAATATTTTTTGATGACAATTCAGACACCATGAAATAAATAGGGTCTTTATAGTCAGATAAAAAAAGGTTTTAAATATAACATGTAAGTGGATTTCAGCGCATGTTTTCCAGTGTACCCTTAGCTGTTCTTTTGAGGATACAGGGGAAGATGAATTTTTATCACTGTACCCTTGGCCATGAAACCCGACCAAATGAAGATAAGTCAATAGTTAAGTGATTTTGTTCGTACATGTTTTAGTGTGCGTCAGTACAACGAGTCACTAATCGTATATTTATTGCTTCACAATTGGTTTCCTGTCCTGTGCGTAGGTACCAGGGCAACATAACATAACGAAGTTCGTCGTTAGCTTCCCTTCCAAGACATTATTATTGTTATTTATTTGATTATTAAATACATTTACAACTTAAAGACGAGCGGAATCTAGGCGACCCACCTTCACACTGAACTATGAAAGTGTGACAGTGTGAAAGATCGGGTACTTCACATTGACAATGGTGTGAATGTTCAGTGTTGAGGTGGGTCAACCGCAATATGACATAACCGTCAAAACTTCAAAGTAGAATATCTGTAAATCCTGACTTCCTATAATAAAAGGAATAAGATGGATCAGATCGAGCATATAAACTCTATAATTTGACATACAATTCATTTAAAGACGCAGAAAAAAATTTCAACACAAAATTGTATGGGAGTTTGCCATTGTCCTTTGTCGCTTCGACCCTGTGTCCGAATGTTTTGTGTTTAAATCGTCACCACCAGGGACTACCCTTTTAGTTAAAAATGCACATAAAAAATTTTTCATGAAGAATATTTTTTTTTTACCCCAGCATCAGCCCCAAGCCCTGAGGTCGTTAAGTATGATATAAATATATTATTTTTATTTTCAATAACAAAGAAATGGGGGACCGCCAAAGTTGCCAAATTTAGACCTTTTTTGTTAAGGGGCCTACCTCAAAATCGCATATGCTATGTAAAAACAACAACTATGATGTACTTTGTAAGTTGTGACGAATATAAACAAATGATTTTTATTTATTTTCTATATAAGTATTGTAATACGGTAAATAAAAACTTTCGCGTTTGTTGTTCGGAAACGAACTATCCCATAAGTCTAGTGATATTAGGTAGCTTCAAAACAGTTAAATGTACGGAACCCTTATATAGCGAAACCATCCACGCGCTTGGCCAGATTTTGCAATTTGTCTCGTGTCTGAAGATTTTAATAAACAAAAAAGGTGTCAATTAGAAATAAATCTTCAAACAAGCCATAAAATTATTTCGACAGATAATTTGATTGTAGCGATGTATCTGTCACCACCTTGTTAAACAGCATTTTCTAACTATGTACCTACCTACTCACTATCATCTCGTCACTCGATATTTGTCAAAAACAGATGCAGAAAATTTACGCTCCTCACCTTTGTTAATGTAAGACAAAGATTTGAAACGTAGTTATCACAATATCATAAAAAAAAATCTTTCTTTATCATCAGGTCACATTCCTAACGTAAAAATACTACAAACCTACATGTTTATACAAATTTCACTTTTATTACCGACTGACTGATTCATTCATAACGAACAGTTAATTAAATGAGTACACAAAAGCGCTCAGCGACCGAAAGCAAAACATTAGTATTATAAATAAAGATGATATTTACATACATAATAAATATCTTAACGACACATATAAATTAATCGGAACCTAATATTTCAAAATTAATAAATGAGTACTTATATTGTGAAAATAATATTTTGAATTAATGGTCAATAAATTCGAATTCTCCCGTCTTCAGGCTTGCGCTGCGATTGATGAATCAGGTTAATGGTAGTAAGTAACGTACAATGTTTCAGGTAATTAAAGGCTGTAAGTGAAGTATAATACAGTTCACTTTCGTAGTGTGCATTTAAGCAGTTATAATGTTCGCGGACAATGCACCAGGCGTGCGCTGCTCAGCATGACCACTTTACCACCTGTCGTTACATATTTATGTCTACACTATTGACTTCACTGTTAGGGACTTCGATATTGACAAGATAACATCCTTAATGTGATGTGTTTGATTTAATAATAAGATTAAGTTTGTGCCTCTTTCATTTTTAAACTCTGCTTTAAGACAATTGAAACTGGACTGTGTTGGTTTAACTTAGTGATTCAGATGTTGATATGAATTTGCTATTAATTTTATAATAGCCAATATGAAAATAGTTTTTGCTCGCTGTTGAGAATTTAACGGACATATAACATATTAGTTATCAGAATTGGAGTTACATGCTAACTTTGCAGCGCACGCGCTATATTAAAACTCTATCAACAGATATGTTTTGATTTTTTCCAGTTAGTGATATTTTATACCCAACTACTCTGTACATTTTATTATGTCTCATGTAATGCGCAGCTAGCCTCACAATAATTAAAATATTTAAAAAAAAATAACACTCACTGCCAAAGACATAATAGATAGGTATTCTATTCTTGCAGTCGTTAAATTTGAAAACATGATCATATTTATTCAAAAAGAAAATACTGGTTTCTGCAAATAACAAAAACAGTAACAGTAATCATTTGATAAAAAAATCAAAAAACCCGACTGCTTAATTATACTTCAAATAAAAACTGAAAAGAAAAAAACAAGTCCAGTAGTCTATAATTCTGTTAATACGGAACAAAGCTACTTTAACAGTCGGGACCCATTAGATATTCAAGAATACATAATATTTTCAACAGTGGGTCCCGACTGTTAAAGTAGCTTTGTTCCTTATTAACAGAATTATAGACTACTGGACTTGTTTTTTTCTTTTCAGTTTTTATTTGAAGTATAATTAAGCAGTCGGGTTTTTTGATTTTTTAAATTTACCTTTTTTATTTCACACTTTTTAGTTAGTTAGTATTTTAAGACGGTATATACCGTAGTCTTGTTACTTCAGTAAGGGAATTAATATCGCGGGAATTATTAAGTACCTTGCGTCGGTCTAAAAGATTGATTTATTAAGACATATAAAGACTTTACCAGCGGGGTCAAGGCTACAGATGCACCTCAATTTTCGCAAAAATGTGTGAATTAAATCAAGTTGTTACATAAATATCTCTAATGTATGTAAATTTTATAGTAAACTAGCACTTATTCAAAAAGTCATCTTTTGTTTATATATATATTTTTTAATAGTTTAGCAGTAAATATAAAATTCATTTACTTTTATTCGTCGACTATTTAAAATTGGCAGTGGCTGCATTGTCATGTCAATGCCGGACGTCTAAGATTGTGATATACACAAATTCAGTGTCAGTACCTAGTCTCATAATTTGATATACCTACATAATTCACAGAAACCCAATATGTAGATGCCAGAAGTTAACTTCAAATGTTTTTAATCATCCTATATACAATACCAATCAATGACGTTTATGTCGCAGGTTGAAGAAAACAGTAATTCCCGTCTGTTGTTTTGGACAATGGTGGCAACTGCCTTAGATCACTAAATTAAATAATTATGCAATCACCAAAGCAAAGTTTATAATATTTTATTAAAATAAAGGCGCATAATAAAATTTTCATAACGTTAGGTAGAGCACCATAGCAATCTCATTTATTATCAATTTATAGTTCTCTTTGTAGTTTTCTTTTAAAGCGTTCACATTTAACGGGTCAAAGACTTTGTGTTCGACCCTTTTTTATTGGTAGTGTAAAGCTCGAATGAAGAGTACTCCCAGTAGTGCAATCATGGCAATTATTTTCCATTTTTTTTTAAATACCGAATGACGTATCACTGTTAAGCACAAATGCTAAGTAACTTTTACAAATATAATCAAATAAACGTTTTACTTACTTTATTTTTAAATCTTTTTCATCAATTAAATACTTATCTTATTCTAACTATCTATAATAATATTATAAAGAGGCAAGATTTGTATGTTTGTAACAAATAATCTGTCAAACTACTAAACCGGTTTCAAATATTAATAACATAAGGTAGCTACATTATTTATTATAACATTTTTCTTTATTTAAATACATTTTGTCCGAGTTACATAGGCTATATTTTATCCCGATAAATAAATTTCGCCCGTACAATGCCCGGGAGGATCACTAATAAGTATAATATAATATTATAGATGCGAAAGTGAGTTTGTTTGTTGGGCTTCCGTGCCCTAATAACTAAACCGAATATAATGAAT